TTTTTCTTTTACTTTCTTTAAGGGATTTATTGATTTCTTCAAATTTTTGTTTGCCTTTTCCTCAACTCTTCAAGGGAATTTTTCATTTCCTCTTTAAAGGCCTCTATCATCTTCATAAAGTTATTTTTAAGGTCGCTTTCTCTGCTTCTTCTAGGTTGCGATGTTCAGGTCTTGCTGTTGGAGAACCACTAGGTTCTGGTGGTGCCACATTGCTCTTTATGTTGTTGTGTGTACTTTTGCACTGGGGTCTTTCCATCTCTTCCTCCAGTAGGTACAAGAGGTGCCTGTGTCAAGTGAGCTGCTATTGGTCCAGTCTGTGCTTGCTGTGTCTGTGTCTCAGGGGGTCACTCTGGGTCCAGTCTTACCTCTTGGTTTAATTGGAGCTGGCAGATTCTGTGTCTCATGAAGCCGCTGAGGTCGCAGGGGGATGGGTGGGTGTGGGGTAGGGAGTGGGTCTTGTAGATTGCAGGATCCGATGGGGGGTGTTGGTGGGTAAGCCTGCCCGCAGGAGCCTTCCCTGCTGGCCGGCAACTTGGGTAGCAATGGGTGAGGGTTCTTGGGCATGGGTTGTGTCCCAGGGCCTAGATCCTAGAGGCAGGGCTCTCTGGGCGGGAGAAGAGTCACTCACCTCTTAGTCCAATCCTCTTCAATTTCTTTTACCAACATTTTATACTTTTTCAGTGCACAGATATTTCACATCTTCCTTTAAATTTGTTCACAAGTATAGCAAATTGGTGCCATTGAATGTTATTAGTTTAAATTTTGATAGCACATTGCAAGTTTTTGTATATTGATCTTGTCTTAGCAATCTTGTTAATTCACTTAATAGTGTTTATAAGTTTTTTTTTTTTTTTTTAATTGCATTGGGAAGTTCCCTCACACCAGGTTTCTACCTGGCCTCAAAATGCCCCCTTTATCAAGACATCTCTTTCCTTACCTCACCCTCCATCCATGAGGATGACTCCAGCTAAGACTCACTGTGTAGACCAGGCTGGCGGTGCTGCTCTCAGAGCTCCGACGGCCTCTGTCTCCTGAATGCTGGCATTTTCTTGTTTTATGTCATCCCCCCTTCCTTTCCTCCTTCTAACCCTTCTCCCGCCCT